CGAACCCCTTCTCCTCTGCCACCCAGTGAGTCCCGGCGGAGGAGCGGACACCTGCTGCCCCGGGACCGCCGGCCGCCCGCAGCTTGCCCTGGGCTCCCGGTTTTTCTCTCTGGGCCCCGCTGGCTCTGGTGCCCCGAGCCCTCTGTGGAGCGACTCCCGAAGGATCTGGGGCAGGGAGGAGCAGGAAGAGCAGCCACAGCCCCCTCGCACCACGCCTTTTTGAGCCTGGGTACAGAGCATTTCGAGACCTAAAAAGATCTGCAGGAGTGGGGATGCCGCAGCCTCACGTCTGCCCCAGCTGCGCTCCGAGAGCCCTGTTGTCCCCGCCGTCCCCGCCCAGACTCTGCACCCACTGCCGCCCTCCGCCGGGACGTGGCCTGTGTCACCTGGTTGGGTGTCCTCTTGCTCATGTCATTGAGCGGCAGCCGAAGCCGGGGGCTTCACAGAGACCTGGGTGGGGCTGGTCAGGGTCTGTGCAGCTGGTGTAGGGGCCCCTGGAGCAAGCCCCCCACCCTCCTTTGTCTTCCACAGAGAAGGCTGTGAGCACAGGGGGACCTCGGGGCAACACGGGGCTCGCTGAGGACGGTGCTGGGTGCGAGACCCGCTGCTGCAGGACGGAGGTTCCTGGCAGTTCTCTAGAACAAAGCGAAAAGCAGAGCAGAGTGGAGACGCCTGGCAGCCCTGCTCTCACCGTGAGTACTCAGACTTCTGACTTCTTCAGACACCGGAAGTGGAGAGATGTTTACTGATCCTGATCTGTTCTCCTCCCATGCACCCCACCCGAAGAGGGGACTGGAGAGGCGTCGGGAGCACCCGGATTTCAGTGTTCAGCCTCCGTACTGCCCTCACATTCAGGTTTCCCTAAAGCCCAAGCCAGCATCCCCATCTGGTTCCACTGCTAATGGCCCACATAGACGGACCCTGCCTGCCCGCACTGCCCCCAGGGAGGGGAGGCCTGTGGCTGGCGGGCTGCAGGAGGGTTAGCCCTGCCAGCACCTAGCATGCTTCTCTGCCAAGTTCTAGCTCCCGATCTCCAGGCTGGTAGGAACCTGGACTATATATAGCAGCGCTAAGCAGCTCTTATCAGCGTGTCCGCCCTCCCCTGGGGAGAGGAGCCATCCCCAAGGGCCTTTTACTCCAGGAAGGTGTGTGTGTCTGTGCCTGCCTTGAGGCCGCCATGCTGACCCTCTCTTCCCCCTTCAGATGCTGACAGACTACCGCTGGTGCGGGATAGGCTGGTGTGGGTTAGAGCCTGGGCTGGGAGTGCCCTGGGGACTTCGGGGCTTGGAGAGAGAGCGAGCCAGGGAGCACAGGGTGAAGCCAGCATGGCTGCATCGGGAGCCAGCCCCGTCTTCTCCGCTTCCTTCCTGTTTGCCTTGCTTTGCCCAAGGAAGTCTTGGCCTCTGTCTTCCTTCTGGTGCCTCTTGCCTTCCCACCTCCCTCCAGCCCTTCGTCCTCCTCCTCTGGGTTTTCTCCAGGACACGTAGAGCAGACTGAGCTGCTGGCCCTGGTCAGCTGTCCCGGAGGTGGTCGGTGGGCTGCATCCTTTCCTCTGCCCCTTGCAGGTGCCGTGTGATACCGCCAGGCCCCCAGCAGTCACCACGGGGCTGGGGTTGGCACATGCGATTGTGTGGTGTGGCCGCCCGGCCTCCTTCCCTCCTGTACGGTAGAGGAGTCCATGGCCTCAGGGCAGTCTCCCCCTTCCCCATTTTCCTGCTCCGGCCGTTCTGTGAAGGGGGTTGGTGGTCAGCTGACCGCGGGCTCTGGGCACAGGGCTTGGGTACCTCAGTGCAGTCAAACACCTTGGGCATCGTGTCCCTGTGTGTCCGGGCGCTGGGTTTCGCCATCCTAGTGTGGAGGGAGACTGAGGCAGAGGGTTGCAAATTCAAGTCCCACCGGGACAACTTGGCAAGACCCCATCTCAAAAAAGAGGGTTATGGGTGTAGCTCAGTGGTGGAGCACCCCTGGGTTCAAGTCCCTGTCTCACACCCCAAAAAGTGCCTGAGGCCTGCAGAGCTGGGTCCACACACTGTGGACAGAATTCAGTGCACAGGAGCCCACTGTGCCTCCAGGAGAGCTTCCTCCCGGCAGGTAGGTCACCGCCGTGTTCCTGGGCGCCGGGCCCCACCGGAATCAGCTGAGTGCAGGCGGGTTCTAAAGATAGAAGGGACGGTGCTGGGCGTTTTACGAGGCGCCGCAGGGCTGCCTCCCGTGGGTGGCCTTCCCTGTGCCGTCTCTCCTGGTGTGTACCTCTCCCCGCTGTCCAGGAAGCCCCGGGTTCCCCGCCCAACTTGGGGCTTCTCCTCTCTGTTTGAGACCCGTCTCCGATAGGTTGGCTGTGAGGAACCAGAGCCCGTGGCCAGGCCGGCGTGGTGCGGAGGGTCCGCTCTGTGGTCCTCTCCGTCAGGTCCGTGCCTGCTGCTGCCCATGTGGGGGCCCAGGGCCGGGGCCGGAGGAAGGTGGGGGCGGCTCCGGTACAGCTGGGGAGGTGAGCGAGCGAGTGAGCTGGTTGCCCAGGTGCTGCCAGCTGCTGGCGCTCTGGCACTTGGCTCTCACGTGTACCCCGGCCAGGCCCTGGGTGACCCCCGCGTCCGTCCACACTCTGCCCTCTGCAGCTGGGAACCGGTGCAGGAAGGGGAGGCTGCTGTTGGCAGTGCCTCAGAGAGCTGGACTCAGCCTCTGCCAGGTCCCTGACTGTCCTGCATCGGAGCCTCAGCCCTGCGAACCAGCCCACCTTCTGCTGCCACAAGTGGCGCCTTGTGCTTTCAGTCAGCGAGCAGGGCCGTGGGCACCCGTGTCCCACATTGTTCTTGATGTCCAAGTCCCTGAGAGCTGAGAGCCCGGAGGCCGCGTGGGACCTTTCCCCCAGGGTCCAGTGGAGGCTCAGAGTCCAAGGAGGTGGGCCTGATGGATTCATGCCTTCCCGGTGCCCCAGGCCCGCTCCCATCGGGGTGCACAGCCCTCCATGCTGTGTGTGGCAGTGTCCAGACCGGGTGGGAGAGCGAGGAACAGGGACCGACTGCCTCTGGGGAGGGCTGTGTGTGGTCAGCCACGAGCGCGAGGCTGGGAGGCTAGGGGCAGAGGCCAGGGCTTCCTGCCAGGCTCTGGGCAGGGATGAGTTTCCAGTGGGATTTGCACCTACAGGCACCACTGCAGGTGCCAGGTGAGGTCTGAGACCAGGCCTGCAGCTTTGAGGCAGCCTCGGAGGCCTGGTACCGGATGCCGTCCCGGCAGGCTGAAGCTGACCTTTCTGAAGGCCTCTTGCTTATCTGATTTCATCCCCAGAGCAGCCGTGTGACGCAGGCACGATTCCCTCTCCTGCCTGGAGGAGCTGTGGTTATTCAGTGACTTAACCAAGGTCACACATGGGGTAAGTGCAGTTGTTGATCTTGAAACCCAGGCATTTCTGACTTCGAAACCTGTGCTTTCCCTCATTCTCTTGGACTAAAGTCAGGTATTTTCGCGAGCTGAGCCCCTCTGAGAACAGATATGAACCAGAGGGAAGGGCAGGCACCCGGGGACCTTCCCGGTCCCCAAGGATGGCTGTGTGAGTCTCTTTCTAGAGAGGCAGGACTGAGATGGGTACCTGCTGGTGCACTGGGCAGGCAAGGCTGGGCAGGACAAGGACATTCCTTGCCAGATACATGCGGAGTTTTTAACCAATGCTGAGTGCTGTGCTAGGTGCTGGAGAGGCAGAATCCACGAAAGCTCAGTTTCTGCTCTTGGCAGCTGCATTCCAGGGTGGGGAAAGATCGGTGCGAGCCCAGCATCCCCAGCGTCATGGCGCCTGCCTGTAATCCCAGCACTGTGGGAGACTGAGGCAGGAGGATTGCAGGTTTGAGCCCAGCCTGGGTAATTTAGCAATTTACCAAGACCCTGTCTCTGGGCTCAGTGTGAAGGCCCCTGAGTTCAGTCCCCAGGCCTGC